GTTTACCATTAGCAGGCAATTAATAACGACACAGTCTACATGTTAACAAACTCATGGCAGGGGTCAGAGTTACTAAATGGGGAAAGTCCAGGCAATCACACGTCAGCGGGTGTTTTATAGGTTAGTGTGTGTTTGTTTTGGGCATTTGTGTGAGTAGTGTTGGTGAAATAACGTTCCCGTGTATATAAATGAGTGGAATGGCGCCACTATTATAGGCATATACAACATAAATAACTAAAAAGAAAAAGTTCTCAAACATGTTACTATTTTAAAACTGTGGTTTTGTTGGGGGTTTTTTCTTTTACCAAAGTCAAAGGTCTTTCATCATTCTGAAAGCCAAAACATGAAAAGCCTTCTTTCACTATAAAAAGCCTTCTGCCCCAAAGGTCTCTTGAAATTATTCAAAATGCTTATTCGAAAACCGAAAACTAGCGACTGAAACACTATAAACAGCAAAAGGGAATCCCATCTGCATACCTTGAGCATGACAGAAACATGCTCCGAGAGCAGGTCAAAGAACTGGAAAGGTTTGAACACGCTCTCAAAAACTTCGCTGTCAAGTGTTTTGGTCTTCGGGGAAGACATTTTGATAATAGTCTGGTGATATTCAATTTTGTTGTTTTTGGTGGTGGTGGTGGTCGTGTTAGTGATGTTGTTGTTGTTGTGAACGTTGATGTTGTTGTTGGTGGTGGTGGCAGTGGTGGGATGGTGGTGGTGGTTGTGGTGGTGGTGGCGTTGTTTTTATTGTTGTTGTTGTTGGTGGTGGTGGTGGTTGTTTTCTTTTTAGAGGATATCCCTTATTTTCTTGTTTAAAAGAAGAAAAAAAAGCAAGCCTGGGAACTCCAACGACGGAATAGGTTGAATCGCAGATGTTTTGGAATAACTAAAATAAAGAACTATTAGTAGACAACAGATGATGATACGCTATTAATTATACTAAACACAAGCACACAGAGGCCATGTCGTGGAGGTTTTTTACGTCGCGAGTGTCATGTTTTGGCTCATGGTGTATGTGCCACGTGGGAAGGGGGACCCTCTAGAGATGCCCAAGTGACGGGGTGAAGTGGGTGCAAATTTCATGGTCACGTGAACCGCGCTCCCGCATTATGAAAATGGCCAGCACTGTCCAGAGTTGCACGAAGGATTAAAGGTGACAACTTGACACGGTGATTTCCCCTGGATGGCCAGAGAGCATAGGTTATGGCCATTTGAAGCGGCCAGGTGCCTGTCTCCAACAGCGGCCATTATGCCGTGACTCACCGACAACAATTAAATGTTTCTCCTCTTTTTAGTTTTAGTAAGAGTTTTACGGCACTTGCAACACAGAAAGTTAATAGAAGTGACGAAGATTAGAGGTGTTACAAGAGAGTAACAAACAGAAAAAAAGAAGGAGGGGAGATAAAGACGATAGTTGTTTGATAGAAAAGAAGTAACAAACCACACCAGAGCACCCGCCAAACACCTACTTTTCTTCTCTCTTCTCTTGTCCCCCCTTTTTTTGTTATTATTTTTTAAAGTTTTGTTTTTGTTGATATTTTCTATGTTTCTCCTTCTTCTTCTTCTTCTTCTTCTTCTTCTTCTTCTTCTTCTTCTTCTTCTTCT